CACCGAGCGCAGCCGCAGGGACCGCACGGAGCCCCGGCCCCGCCGCCGTAGCCTCCGCGGAGCCTCAGCCCCGGCCTGGCCCGCGCCCCAGCCTCCCGAACGCCCGGCGCCCCCGCTCACCCGAGCCTGTGGTGGCTGCCATCTTGTGTCGCTGTAGCTCGAAGGCCGGCCCCTTCTTCACCCCCCCTTGCGGTTCGTCGGGCGCTAGAGCGCAGGCGTGTGCGCAGGCGCAGTGGCTGCTGCTGACGCCCACTCCGGGCGCACAAGCCTGGCGGGAAGGGCTTTGCTTAGGTTTTCAGAGGACGAGATTGCGTGCCCGAGGGCCTAGCAACTTGCAAGTCCTGCCAGGCCGGTGCGAGGGAGGTTGCGGGTGCTTGGCCCGAGGAGCCGCGGTGACCGCACTCGGGAGGGCGCAGCCGGGACAGCTAAACGAGAAAGTGCCGCGGAGCCCTGCGCCCGAGTTTGTCCGGTTCCTCTCTAGCTGCGTCCTAATCACATCCCGAGCAGGTCGCGATTAAAGTGAAAATGAAGCCGAGGGAGATGGAGCGATTTAGCCCAACTCAGCTGTTAAGTAGCTGAGTCAGAGTTTGAACTCAGGCCAGATGGTCTTGTTTGCAGCGTTGCTGCTGCAGAGGTTGAGGCTTGGGACAGGGCGGCAGAGGGGTTGAGAGCCTTGCCGAGGCACGTAGGCACATTCATTTAAAAAAAAAAAAAAAGGCTTATTGTCTCTTTGAGACAGCATCTCCCTGTAGCCCCAGCTGGCCTGGAACTCACTATGTAGACAAAGCTAACCTCGAACTCAGAGATCCGCCTGCCTGTAACTCCCAAGTGCTGGGATTAAAGGCATGCGCCACCATACCGGGCTAAAACTTTTTATTATTTTTTTTTAAGAATATATTTTATTTTATGTGTATGCGTGTATTGCCTACATGTAAGTAAGTGCACCCGTGTCGTGCAATGCCCGCGGAGGAAGGAAAGTGTATGTGTACCACCTCTGTGTGGGTACGCGCATATGAGTGCAGGTGTTCAGAGGTCAGAGATGTTGGATCCCTTAGGGAGCTGGAGGCAGCTGCCAGCTGCCCGACAATGTGTGCTGGGAATTGAACTCTGGTCCTCTGGAAGAGCAGTACCTGTGACAAGATAGAGTGAAGGGGCAGCAGGAACAATCAGGTCTCTTAAGGTAGCCATATTTCAACACAGACTTGAATGATCCATAGGCGGTTAAAAGGAACAGCATGCGCGAAGGTCCTGGAGACCTAGCATCTGCAAACATGGTAAATCCAGCACATAACTCCTTTATCATGAAGCCCTTATGTGGATGTGGAAACTGAGGCTGAGAAAGGTCAAGTCACATTGCTAAGCCCTTGGCAGAGGAACAGGGAAGCTGGAAACCCTCACCCAGAACATTCCATTCGTTTATGACAACTATGCTTACTAAGCATCTCTCCACTCCCTTCCCTCTGGACAAAACACACAATAACATAGAATTATCATCCAGCAAGGACACGCATCAGACTGAAGGAAGGAAACTAGGTCTCTGGCAGCCTGGGATGGATGACAACCTTACCCACAAGGCCCTGATCACAGGGCTGGGCATTTAAGGAGGCTGTGTGTTAAGAGGTGTGTCTCCTCAAGGTAAGACATTACCCCAGCCTGACATTACATATGTCAGAAACCCTTGGCACCTCCCCAGTGTGGCCCTGACTCTTTCAATGCCCCTGGAACTCCATGTGGCCTCACCCTCTTCAGAGTCGTTATTCCCACCATCAATCTCAGATCAGCGTTACCTCCTTAGGGAAGCCTTCCTGGTTTCTCCAGTGAAACATCTGAGCTATAACTGGCTCTCAGTCGGCCGGCCAAGCATTGGTTTTTCCAGCTATAAGTGAAACAACTTGGCTTTATTTCATATATCTCATGGCACAAACCAGCCTTTGGAAGCTCAGACAATATTTGCTGTGGACTTTGGGCCACTGCAAAATATCAGGAACAAGGTGAGTATTTGGGCCTTTGAGGTAGACTCACTTTAGAAGGTTCCAGACTTCATCATTCACCTTTCTGGTAAGAGTTTTATAAAGATAGCTGGGTGGGGTGCATGCTTATAATCCCAGCACCAGGGTGTCTGAGGCAGGAGGATAGAGTTGGGGCCAGCCTGGACTACACAGTGAGATACCGCCCCCCCCCCCAAAAAAAAACACAAAAGGCCAGGGGTGGCACATGCCTTAAATCCCAGCATTTAGGAGGCAGGCAGATCTCCAGGAGTTCCGGGCCAGCCTGGTCTACATATAGAGTTTTTCAGGCCAGCCAGGGCTACTTGTTGAGATAGTCTGAACAACAACAAAATCAAACAGAAAAAGTATCAGCCAGCTAGCATAGATCCTACTGCCCCAGGTGATGATGCAAATTCCTTTTCAGAGCAGAAAGACGTTAAATTGCACCCCTAAGCATGCTGGATATTGTAGTCCAGCGGTGTCGCAGAGCCCTCTGGGAGTTGTAGTACTGAGCCACGCCCCACCCCTTAGACGCCGGTCCTCCTGACGTCACAGCCAGTACCTAGCAGTCAACCATTCACCCATACTGAGCCGTGCGTGGGCCAATGAACTCAGCTGATTGGCACAAGAGAATCCTGTTTATTGGATCCGTGATTAAGATTAAAATTGTTACTAGAACTAGTGAATTTAGAAGAGCGTTTAGCTGGGTGTGGTGGCACACACCTTTAATCCCAGCACTCAGGAGGCAGAGGCAGGCGGATCTCTGTGACTTCAAGACCAGCCTGGTCTACATAGTGAGTTCCAGGACAGCTGGGGCTACTGGGAGACCCTGTCTCAAAGCATATGTGTGAGGGTGAACAAAACATCATCCCAACAGAGATGACGATTCATTCGGGTCCCCTTCCTGGGACTCCCTCCCGGGGCTCTTTGCAAAACCTGTAGGCAGTTCTTCAGGTCATAGGCCCCACTCACCTCGGCCAGTTACCCTTATATAACCTTGGGGTAAGGAGGCTCTTATGAATCCTGTAAGTTTCAGGAACTGCCTGAGACTTGTAAGCTGTTTGCTTCCTGAGCCTTGCAAAGTCTGTCTAGTTCATGAGTCTTAAGGAGCCTCCCTACAGGATGGAATGTTTCAAACTGGAGGAAACTGCAACACAACATCAATCACCCATTTAAAAGCTGGTGGTACAAACCTGTAATCCCAGCGCTTGGGGAGGCAGAAACAGGAGGATTCCTGGGGCTTGCTTGCCAGTTTACCTGAATAAGTGAGCTCCAGGTTCAATGAGACCTATCTCAAAAAATAAGGTGAAGAATGATGGAGGAAAATGTCCAGTGTGGACTTCTGGCCCCCATATGCACTCCTACATATAGCCTGCCTACCCCTCCACCACATACATTGTTATGGACCCCGGGACTACTGAGGAAAGACTACCAGACTCAATTCAGATCAGGATAAAAGATTATATTCAAGCTAGCGTGGACTGCAGTCTCCATATTGGATTAGGGTGCTGCAGTGGGGAGAGGGAAAGGGGACCTTTTAAAGCTAAAAACCACAAAAAGGAATGTTGACAAGGTGGTCCCCGAATAACAGGGTAGAGGGCGATCTCAGCTACATGTCAAGGTACCCTAAAATAGCAAAACAAGCAAGTTACAGAAGCCAGAATCAGCAGTTAGTCATAGCATAATAATTTTGTTTTCTATATGTCTAGAGAGCTAGTGACCCCAGCAGCATTCTCCTGGGAAGAAAGGGAGAAAGGGGTCAGGGCTTCTGAAAACAAACCTTGAGCTAGAAATACACCATGGCTAAGCTTCTAAGATGGCTACTTTATCCAAAATGGGGTCAGTTTGGTCAGTACATTCCCTACTGGCTCTGGTTCATACGGATCAAATCATTGATCCACATTTGTTATAGGTTGGTATCGAGCCTGTAATGCTAATATTTTGACAGAGTTGATTCTCTTCCTAATATATCCCAGTAACTAATTTAAAATGCAAGGGCCTACAGTAACACCTAAAAGTAACAGAAGCAGGGGGCTGCAATTGCTGTTAAGAGAGTAGTTAGCCATGGAGAGACCAGGAGAAGAGGGACTCGTATCAGTTTGAAGCCTTACCTCATTCTTTGGCTGTTTTATTAGGTGTTTTTCCAATTGTCCTATAGAACTTCTAAGATAGTCTATGTCTTGGTCCGCTCTGACGCTTAGAATCTTAACGTTTTGATCCCCCAGAGCCAAAGCCGAAACTCCTAAAGCAACAGATCCTGCAATGCTGGTTCCCACTAAAAAGGGTGGAAGAATAGCTGGGCTGCTCTCTTTATTCAAGTTGGTGCATGGTTTTATATATATACTTGAGGAAGAACATATACCAGTACACATAGGCTTCCCTTTTTAGATTCCAATTCCAGATGTTCTGCTGTCACACATTGAGCAAGACCAAAAGTACACGTCCACCAGGTCCCTATTGAGGCTTGGAAATGTACTCTATCAGAAGCTGACTTAACAATACCAGTTAGGAAACGACAAGACTGGCTATAAGGGGAGTTAGTGATTACGTAAGTTGAGGAAGCCAAACATATTCCCTTCATGTATGTTTCCACATTGCATTTAAGGGGAAAGGCAGGGTATATGCACTAGATTCAGTGATACAGAACCCACAAAGAGGAGCTGATAAGCTCTTCACAGCAAGACCACAGACACAGAGAAGACAGAATTACAATCCTGTCTGTGGTTTACAGGCAGAGTGACACATTCTTTAATGGACTTAGAGCCCCCTGGGAGCTATCTGAGCATGTCGGGAAGACATTTAATATATGGTCTCATTGCTAAATTGTACAGTTTTATTGGGATATGAGGCTGAGGGAGGGGATCATGGAACCATCTGCTTCTCCACTGATGAGCATCCAGCCTGTTTCCTAGTTATGCATTTACTACTGCTGCTGCTGCGCCATACCCCTAGCCCAGCATTTGGCTTCTTCCTGGACAGTCCATTTGTGCAATGTCTGGATTTTGTATATGTTATTTTTGTGGTTGGGGAACAGGGAATGGCATTCCAGAGGCTAGAGCTGTGTGGCTGTGGCTCAGTGGTAAAGCATTTGCCTTGTATGCATGGATTTGCTCTGTGTGCATGGAGGTTCAATCTCTACTATTACTACTTCAGAAAGGGGAGGGAGAGAGG